AGTATAAACTAAAATTCATTTAGAAGAAAGTAGATTATCATCTAGTGTAGTAGAAAAAACAAAAAATTGAAAATTAGCAAGTGGGCAACGGTTGCCCAACCCTCAGAGGGCAGGTATGAGGCAACGGTCCCCTTTTTTTGGGTTTGGCAGACTGTTGACCATGTGAGAATTGAGGATTGACAGGGGGCCCTGAAATTTTCGTTTAAACCAAAAAATTTTTTTTTTTTTTTTTTTTTTACTGATTCTCTGTTCTGCAATACTTTAAATGGTAAGATAAAATTATTAGATGGTGAATAATTTTTAATATTAGAGAGATTATTTTTATTTAATAATTTAAATTGTGTGATTTTTAAATTGGTTTAATATTTTTTATTTTTTATTCTTGATTTATAACATCTTATTATTTTCCATTGCCCTTTTTTTTTTTTTAAGAAAAGAAAAAACCATCTTACTAGTCTTTTCCAGACATGAAATTCTAATTTCATATGAGAATTTTAGATAGCCTTAAAACCATTATATAATGTTATACTGGGACACAATTATAAAGGGTAAGTATATATTACGTATAAACAACAATATATATTGTTGTCATAAGGTAGCTGATAAGCGATGACAGCTTGGCAGATTATCAACTTAATTTTCTGGAAAATACCTAAAAGCCACTAATTAATATAATAATGTAACTGATAATGTTCAAATATATATATTTTTGTGGTGGTTAGGACTTAAGACGAACTTAGTGCGTATGGTTGAGATTATAGATCAATTGAATTACCTGATTAAATAAAAGTCCCATGCCTAACTAGGCATATCAGGATGGACTGTCATAGTGTCATCTTTAACTTAGTTTAATTGCTCCTTTTCTTCACCTTCCCTTGTTCATTTCTTCTCAGCACTCAAATTAGCTGAATTATGCTTTTAATAAAATATATTAAACCTATCTATTACCTCCTCTTTCTTTTTTGTACATTAAAGTGAAATGTATATATAGAACAAATTTACAAGCCCTAGTCTAATTAAGTTTTCAAGTAGAGTAATTAATTTCTTACACATATCTTTTTCATCTTCTATATTTTCACATTATTTTCTTAAAACCATTCACTAAACTAGATATATTTCCTGCCTGAAAAATGCTTCATACCACAGCGTCATAGCCAAATAAATATGTTGACAATAATGAACCGACCACCCCCACTTCTGGCCCTGTCCATTTCAATTCCACCAAATAAAAGCATAGTGTAACTAACAATCAATTATTTAAATTTTCTTTCTTTCCTTTTCTTCATTACGTACAAATTTTGTTTTCTTCCTTTCGGTTCGGTGCCCTTTTTTGAATCTATTTTTCCTTCCTTTTTTTGTTGTTTAAGAATACTTTGAATTTAAGTTGTGGCTGGGAGAGAGTTTGCCATATTTTCCGAACGTCTCTTAGTGGTGAGCTGTGTGGTGATCTGTTTTCGGGCGGCGCCGCTTTCTTCCTTTCTTTCCTTCTTTTGATTTTTCATAACAAGAAACCACACGTTTATAATAATTAATAAATCCTCAAAATATCAACAAGAATTTTAATAGAATTATAGTAAAATTAATACCTATTAATTTAAAATTTAAATTAAAAATTTAAATGTTTATAATATTAATTAACAAGTAATCGCATAACTATCTGATGTACTAAAAAATTAAACCTCAAAACTTTTCACCTATAATTGGGGTATTAAGGACTTATAGTTATTTTTCGGTGGCAAGTAAGCTCCTCAACTTATAAATCTGAAGATATATGCCCGAAATGGACAGAAGGAATTGGGGATCAATCCCCAGTTCATCCTCTATGGGGACTTCTAGTTCAGTCTCTTAACATTCTAAAAGCTGAAATCAACTCTTTGAGAAAGTTCAGTATGCAAAAGGATGCTTATAAGAAATAACCTGATATTCCAAATGCAAGACACATTTTCCTCAAACACATTAGCATGAAATTCAATTTTTCTAAAGGATAAAGATATACACACCCTCTATCGTTACACATTTTATTACACCCTACCTATCTCCGTTATCCAAACTCACGGTGTTTGTTACCCAAC